GTGAGAGCTAGCCTCTAGATGTTTCTCTCTGTTCTCAGATCCCTCTGAAGGATGCCTGCCTTGGACAGAAAGAGGCACAGCTTCTCTAAGTGTCAGGGTTCTCACCTGTACAAGGAATGTTGATGCCAGTGCATGCTCAGACTAAAGAGCTGCCAGTGCAAGGTCAGCTTGTAGAAACCTTTCAAGACCTCTAACTTTTCCTCAGGCCCCCTCTATGGTCTGCTTCATCATGGTGCCTGCCAGTGTCCATGCGGTCTGTTTCTCCCTGTCTCTCATTTGGAGGTGAGTGGCTCGAGGCCCAGGTAAGTATTATTCATGCAGACACCCTTGGCACCTGCCAAAGAACCCCTTCAATGTCCAGCCATTGAAAGAACGAACACATGTACTAATGAATGAAAAAAGAATGCCAAGGATGTAAGGAGGCTTGTGAGCAGGCAGCATTTCTGTGGACATCTCCATCACACTCAGGGTTGGCCAGATCAGGATCCTGAGGCACCAGAGCCCCTTTTAGAATTGCCTGTGTGCTTCTTGAATATTTAGATCTGTTTTATAAAAAAATATTTAGCCGGGCGTGGTGGTGCACACCTGTAGTCCCAGCACTTGGGAAGCAGAGGCAGGCGGATCTCTGTGAGTTCAAGGCCAGCCTAGTCTACATAGTGAGTTCCAGGACAGCTGGGGCTACAGGAGATGCTGCTTCAAAAAGATTAAAAAAAAATTAAATTTTTTTTTATTTTATGTGTATGAGTGTTTTGTTTGCATGTATGCATATCCATTATGTGTGTGTAGTGCCCACAAAGGCCAGAAGAGGGCATCAGATCCCCTGGAACTGGAGTTACAGATGATTGTGAGCCTCCATGCTGGTACTAGGAACTGAACCCAGGTCCTCTGCAAGAACAGCAAGTGCTATTAACTGCTGAACCATCTCTTTAGCCTCTTGGGTCTCTTTTGCTGTTTAACCGGTTTCCTTTTCCTTATAGGGGGTTGCCCCAGTCTAAAAGACTTTTCTTTACAAAGACAGCAAATTCTTGACTAAGTAAGGTCCTCTACAGAATGATTAACCAGGGCTTCTGTTTCATGTCCAGGCTTCATCTCAAATAAAGTGGGCAGATAGATCTCCTGTGTCCTTGGGGCTTGACTTAGCAGCAGCTAATGGCTGCTGTGGGGTGCTCTTGGTCTGGCACACAGCCTTTACTTCTGTGCTATTAGTGACAGTGTTGGCCACCTGAACTGTGTTCTTTTCGCTGACTCCACAAAGACCTAACTCCATATTTTATATAATTTGGAAATAGTAGAATTGGCTTATTGCATTATTGTGGAGTTTCACTCTATTGAGCACCTATTTTACACCACAATATTATGTTAGGTTTATGGCAATGCGCAAAATTAATATGGTCTCTGCTTTTATGGAAGTTTCTCATGGAGGAAATAGATAAAAAGGCAATAAAACAGCTGCAAACTGGGATAAAAGCCATGAAGAAATCAAAGGAAGGACACAGAAAATAACAAGGAGGTCCCTGTTTAAGTGGCTGGGGAGGCTGTTCTAAAGACTGCATTTGAACTGAGACTAGGAGGCTGAGCTGTGGAGAACTTGAGGGAAAACATTTCAGGTGATTGGAAGAGAATATGCAAAGGCTTTGAGGCAGGCCTGCCAAAGGCTTAACTTTAAGGCAATGGAATGTAGGTCTAAGAGTCTTAGAATAATGGGGGGGGGGGCGAACTGGGGAAGATGGAATCCCTAGATCCAGTCTCAAGGGTAAGTACGGTCTGAACCAAGAGTTCATATTCTCTATGGGTCAGCCAACTCTAAACTGTCCTAGACTTGGGACTACAGGGGCCTAGGGCAGAGTCTGGGAATAGCTCAAAGTAATGTTTACTCTTGGAAAAACACAGAGAGTCCCTTCCTAAAGCCCAGAGATGATGCTGGCTACAGGATCCAGGTGGGCTTAGCACCTATCTTTCTTCCCTGAATATAAAGTCTTAGGAGCTAAGGAGATGGCTCATGACTGCAAGCACAAGGATCTGAGTTTGATCCCTAGAACCCATAAAAAAAAAAAAAGGGCAGGTGCAGTGGTGCAACATGTGGTCTTAGTGCTGGGGAAGTAGAGACAGATGGATCCCTGTAGCTGGCTGGTTGGTCAGTCTAACTTAATTGGTGAGCATCAGGCAAGTGAGAGATCCTGTCTCAAAAGGAGGAAGATGGAGTTTCTGGGGATTACACTCAAGGTGGTCCTCTGACCACACACACATGTGCATGCATACAACCCCCACACTATGCATTAAAAAAATTGCAGTCTGATTTGGACCTCATTCATTCATTTTTTCATTCACACATCCATTAATGGTTGGTTGAGACACACCCTGTATCAAGCACTGATAAGCACTGAGGATCAAGAAGTGATGAGAGATGAAGTTCCACTCTCAGGTACTTGTTTCCTCAATAGTGGGGAGACAGTAAAAACAAAACAAACCCTGGACCCCTAAGTCAATATTTTGCTGGAAGAGTGTTTGGAGAACTATCCCCCACCCTTTTTTATAAATAGAGTCTCACTATGTAGCCCTGGCTAGCCTGGAACTCACTATGTACACCAAGATGGCCCAGAACTCACAGAGATCTACTTGCCTCTGCTGGGATTAAATGTGTGTGTCACCATGCTGGCAAAACTCTCCCTTTAGAATAATTGCTCTGAGATTTTGGTTTCTCCATGAATTTTTTTTAATTCATTCTTTTCTGATGGATTCCATTCTGATAACCATAGTGCCTTGGCCCCTTCTGTCTCCTTTCTTGTTGGTCAGAATTTAAACACACACACACACACACACACACACACACACCTCTCCTTTAGAGGGCTGCAAAAGGCCCACCCACACAGACACATCCAAATACACATACTTCTCTAATCTCCCCAAATCCTCCAAAGGCTGGGGATGGGGCTGGCTTTCCGTCATGTGGTCCCGTTGGCGGTGCACATCCATATCACCCCCCCTCGAGGCGGGGGGCTGGCTCCCACTGGGAACAGTGTTCAGCCTTATCAACCTTCCAAATTCCTCCCTGGTCTGGTCCTAGGGTCCCTCTTCTCTACACCTGGCCTCCCCAGCTGCTGAGAGGTGAATGGGTGTGCTGGGCAAACATCCTCGCAACTTCCTGCTGCTCCCCTCTGAGACAACAGAACTGTCCTCTTCCCCCTCCTCCTTTCTTCCTCCTCCTCTTCCTCCTCTCCACACTTTCCAGCTGGAGCTTCTCTGGAATCCTGAGTCAGTTCCCTGTAGAGAAACCAGAGACCTCCCTTCCTCCAGGCCAGAGGAAGGAGATAAGACAGGCCTAGACCCTCTCTTCCGGCCTTTCATCCAAGTTATCTGGATGAAACGCTCAGGCTTGAAAGACTACAGGGCACAACCGAGGAGGGCTCAAGGCCAGCCATGTCAGGGGGAGCTGTGAGGGGGCAAAGAAGGGAAAGGAAGAGAAGCCCCACCTCTGGCAAGAAGGGCAGCTGTTCTGAGGGGTTTCTCAGAATCATTGAGACAGGATGCAGTAATAGCAAGGTCACCTCACAGAAGCATGACTCAAGCCACCTGAAAGCACACCTGCTAGGCTCCATGTACTCTGTCCCTGTCTCCATCCAAAGCAGTACAAGTTCTTTCAGGGCTGTGGCATGCGTGCGTGTGTGTGTGTGTGTGTGTGTGTGTGTGTGTGTGTGTGTAGTGGGGACTAACTTTTGCGTTTTGCTTTTAGTGCAATGAAGCACAGGCTTAACTGTCTGTACACAGATTTTTAAGGACATTGAAGTCATTCCTTTTCATCTTCCAGACAGGCACCCCCCCATCCTCATCCCTGGAAGAGGGAGTCCAGGAGGTGTTGCCATGGCATCCCTGCTGGAAGGAGACTTAGACATGGAAATGGAAAACCCAAAGAAGGACACAACTTACTCGAGGTCACACAGCAACTCCTGGCTGAGTGCTGTTCACAGCCTCTCCCAGCCAGTCTCTGGAAGAAGTCAACTGTGGTCTCTTACATGCCAGGCCTTTGGCTGCATTCATCTTTACATTAATGTTCTCACCCAATCATTACAGTGCTATGGTTCTGATGTTCTCATTTTTCAAATGGAAATCAAGGTCCTGAAGAAAAAAAGTTACTTGGCTGAACTGTCTGGCTGGTTTGGTGGCAGAAGCACAGTCAGACCCCAAATTTTCCAATTCCTAGCCAGGAGTCTTCTCACCCCTTAGACATCCCTTCCTCACTCCTTGTCCAGACAGGAGGGCTCCAGCAGTGCTTGCCCTCCCCCATGTCAGGGCTCCTTTCCTGCACTGGACCAAGGCCCAGAGGGGCAGCTGCAGATGAAGGGCAGGCTGTAGAGTTCATTCAGAAGAAAGCCCAGCTCAGTCTGCCAAGGACTGTGTGAAGTTTGCAGTCCTCTTTGTCTGCAAGGGCGTGAGCTCTAACAAACCTCTTTTCCTCTGAGCAGAACCTGTTCCAAGAAGAGTCTGTAGACCTCCAGAACTCTGCTACTTTACCCCTGGGAGACAGCTACAACCATTCTTAGAAAGACTTGGTCCAGATTTTTCCCATTTTAGAGACAAAGTACCTGAGGCCTGGGGAGGAGAGCCAGAGGAACAGCTCCTAGGGAAAGCAGAGGCAGGACTAAACCCCACTTCCTATTGCTCCCAATGCAAGTCTCCTCTCCACATGCCCTTGATCTATCTTCTGGGGACTAGGACTTGGACAGCCTTCCTCAGATAGCAAGTGACCCAGATGTGCTGCTTGAGAAAGTTTGGGGAGACCTAACACTCTATGCTTAGGACAATTCAGATGAACAGCAAGATACCCAAGTCCATCAAGAACTTGGCTCTTGCCTGGCCAAGTTTGTCTTAGTTCAAGAGGTAGAGAGGCCAGCAGGTGGAGACACCATGTGCTTGACCCCTAGGTGAGGCCTGGCCTTGCTTTCTGAGCCATGCCCCTCCCCCATCAAAACTTGAGGGCTCAGCTTGAGAGAGCAAAGGAAGGAGTAAAGGAGAGCCACGTTTCCTGAGGGAGGGAGGGAAAGAACAGAAAGAAGGAGCCCGGAGACAGAGACAGGTAGGAAGGCACAGAGAGAGACAAAGTCAGCAGAGACATGAGACTAAGGAACAGAAGTGGTGGCCAAGAGACGCACAGATGGAAAGAAAGGTCTCTCTCTTGCGTTGTCACCCTGCTCTGCACCGACTCTCCATACGCAGGTCCCTCCCCGGAGGTTGCCGGCCTGAGCCCATGGGGTCAGCCAGGGCAGTGTTCCTTAGTTTCTGAGTCTGGCTCAATATCTGGGTCTGGCTCTGACCCTCTAGAAGCGTCGGGTCCCCGGCCCTCTGAAAGCTCTGCTGTGCGCCCCCAAGCGGAGATAACAGCCTTGGAGCCACCGAGGCCCTAAAGGGGGCGCAGGAAAGCGCGCCGCCACTTTGCCCCCAATCTGCTCCTGGAACGCTGGGGTGGATGGAGGGCGGCCAGTAGACGCTATGGCACAGTGTGGGGAGAGCGAAATCGGTGTCTCGTGAGCTCACATCCCTTGATGCCCACTTCCCTTAAAAGGCGGCCGCTAACGTGTGCACCTACCGAGACCCTCGAGCAGCGCTGGCACTAGCCGCGAGTAACCTCTCCTGGCTCCAGGTCTAAGGGAGGTGTCCAAGGACCAGGTGGCTCCATCCAGAGCCCTAAGCATGTGTCCCCCAGAAGACCCTGCGCCGAGCCCCCTCCCCGCTCTTTGCGAGGATCCAGGCGCGCAGTGAAGAGGGGTGCGGAGTTGTGTGCAAAGCCAGGACGCCGACCCTCTCTCACGCTTACCGCATTGTTGAGGAAATCCGACTCGTTCAGATCTCCCAGGTCTAGGAAACTGGATCCCGGGAACAGCCTGTCGGTCGGGAAGGGTTCCAAGACCGCGTCCATCGTGCCGGGCTCCGGGGGACCCCCTTCGGGCCGGGCTTCCCTCACTCCAGGGCGGCGGCGATCCCCGCACCGAGCTGCGGCTGAGCGCGGGCGGGCGGCCCGGGGGGCAGGTCCCGGGCGAGCCCCGGGGGAGGAGCGGCGGAGGCGGCGCGGGTCGGGGGCGCTGGGGGGCCTTAGGGCAGCGGCGCGGAGCGCACCACGGGCATTTAGCCGACTCCTCCTCCTGCTCCTCCCGGGGCGCAGCTGGCTTCCATGGGGAGCCCGGGGGTGGGGCCCAGACTGGAGGAGCCCCCCGGGCCGGGTGGGAGCCGGGGGCGGGGGAGCTCAATGCTCCCCCGAGACTGGGTGGCTGCCGGGTCGCCGCGATCTCTCGGCGTCTCTCCCTCAGCACGGCTTCTGTCACTTTCCTCTGACACCGGGAACCCTAGCTGGGTAGCCCAGCTGGCCCGGGTGCCACGCCCCCACATCAATATTCACGATAACTCAATATTAATGAGAAGAGGGCGTGGCTCGGAGAACCTTCTCTCTTAAAGAAACATCTCAGAGTTCGCCTTCCTTGTCAGGCTCAGGTCTCTGAACTCTCAAAGACCGGATTGAAGCAAAATCCTTCTGGAAGCTGTAGCATTCGTGAAACCGGGGAGGCTTGTGAAGGCTTTACAGACCATTCCATGAATTTGATGAGGGAGCTGAATTATTCCCATTTTTCCAGACTGGTGCTAAACCCTGAAACAACCTAAAGTCAGGGAACGCCATTTCAACAGATCTTCCCTCAATGGGGAAGTTTTTAAGGTCACCCCCTCCCTTCTGCTCCCCCTCCTTTCCCCTTCCTTTTCCCTTTTCTCTCTCTCTCTCTCTCTCTTTTTTTTTTTTTTTTTTTTTTGCGGGGTGGGGAGGGGCAGGGTCTCATGGAGCCCAGGCTAGCCTGGAACTCTAGTGCTGGGATTACAGGCATGGACTACCACACCCAATTTTATGTGGTGCTGGGGGGTCAAACTCAGGGCCTCGTGCATCTACTTATTGAACCATATCCCTAGTGCCCATTTTCAGCTCCCCCTAGGAAGCAGTCCCTGCAGCCCCAGGTGGGTGCAATAACCACCTCTGCACACACTCAGGACACGTCTGAACCATATCCCTAGTGCCCATTTTCAGCTCCCCCTAGGAAGCAGTCTCTGCAGCCCCAGGTGGGTGCAATAACCACCTCTGCACACACTCAGGACACGTGTTACAATCGTTGTTTGCTCACTTGTCTATGGTCCTACAGACCCCACTCCCCCAACAAAGACTTATACCCAGCTTTCCAGTACATGGAGGGGCTGTATGAATAGCAAGAGATGGATAAGTTGAGCACCTTCTTTTCCTGACCACTGAGAGCAGGAAGTTGGAGAACAGTGAAGTCTGGTGAGCCAAGGTACTGGCCAGAAGCACACTCCAGTCACCTGACACACCCAGGCCCCCTTGGACTCATTACTTAAGTAGCCTGCTCCTGAGAAAACTTAATCTCTTAAAAGGGCTGATAAACAATCTCTTAGCACCTGAACAAATGGAAATGGCAGGAAGGTGCTCCCTCAAGGGCTGGGTCCACTGTTTCCTGCTCAGAGTCATGGGATTAAGTGTGTCCTCCTTGTTTGGGTAATTAGCTCAGGAACCCAAAGGTCTTTAAGAAGTAGAGATGTCATTGCAGCTCAGCCAGGTTTATCACCGAAAATCACTTTCAATGCTGACGCTCATCTGAGACCAAAGCTGTTTGCTGGGTTAGAGTCAGGCAAGTGACTTTTCTTATCTTATGACCCAGTTGACATAGTTCTGGACCGTGAAGTTGTGACCTTCCAGGTGGTCACATGACTGTCGACGCTCAGGCTTCCTACTGAGTTTACTTCTGAGAAGTTGGCATCATACCCAGGCTCTTGGGACCCTGCTCATCAGCAATACCACTCTGAGAAGTTAGGCTGGGCATGGGAGAAATCAGTTCACTCAGAACAGTGTTGGGTAGACTGAGGGAGTGGGTCAGCTGGAGACTATTCAAACACAAGAGTGGCTGGACACAGGGCGAGGGGAGTAGTTCCTGTCTGGGTGGACAAGCCAGCCTGTGGAGGGTGAATTTGTGGCAGCAGGTGTCTGGATTCCTGGCTCCTGAGCTGGAGTCTCTGTGGGCCCCTATGAGGAGTAAAAGTGTCCCTCTGCCTGAGGTTGGCTGGAAATTGTGCCTGTGTTCCCCCTAGTCTGCCCTGTAATTAGAGACACAGGTACCATTTAAGTGATTGGGGAAGATTATAGAGTTTTAGATAAGTAGGATTAGAATGTCCTGTCTTTCCTTATTCTTATCCAGGTGAACACCCTAGGAACCATTGAAAATAATCCTGGGGAGACATTCTGGTTCCGGCACCTCCTGTGGAGTCTGAGAGGCAAGATCTCCCTAGAGTAATCCTGGGGGAAAGAGGAAGTTAGGAGAGGGGACAGGTGGTGCAAAAGCTGGAATGAGGAACAGGTAAACCTTTTGGAATGAAGGGGATGTAAGGTGCAACAGAGATGTGGGTGCCTAGGGATTTTTTCACACATTCTACAAATGTTATTAAGCATCTACTGCCCCTAACGCAGGCAGTGGAGACTGGGGTGGAAGAAAGTATGGCAAACAGTCTTTTTGAGACAGGGTCTCCCTGTAGCCACAGCTGGCCTGGAACTCACCATGTAGACCAGGCTGGCCACGATCTCACAGAGATCCACCGGCCTCTCCCCTCTGAGTGCTGAGGTTAAAGGCATGTGCCCCATACCCAGAAGCAAATGATCTTAAGATATGGTGGGAAGGACTACGAAGGAATAAAACAGTGTGACATGACTGCCTCTCTGAGCAGTGTCAGCTGAGAACTGAATCATGAATTTGGGTCATTTTGGGGCCAAGTGAAGGGAAAAGTCTTCCAGTCAGTGGGACAGTATACAGTAGACAAAAGAGAGAGGCTTGACTGCATGGGTAGGCAGTGGTTCAGGAGGCATGAATGTGGAGTCCCAATGCTATACACAAATCTGAAGCTCTATTCTGTGCAAACACGGGCAATAATTATGTCCATTCAGATAGAAGTCCTGTCCCTGGCACTTCTGAGGGTGTGGTCAGCAGCGCAAGGCCTTTATCTCAGATGGACACCAGGGCTTTGTGCATGCTAGGTGAGCACTCTACCACTGAGTTCAGCCTCTCCTGCAAAGGGCTTGGCAACACATGGCTGCTGCTTGTAGCCGTGCTCCAGCTGTGAAACAAAAGCATACTGCATAATGACATCACCACACAGTTGATGACAGTCAGTGACGCACAGGAGGAAAAGGGCAGAGATAAGCTTCCTGCCTGTCTCAGACACTGAAGGTCAGGTGGAGAGAGAGGCTTTTGCTAGGCTGCATTGTGTGTGTGTGTGTGTGTGTGTGTGTGTGTGTGTGTGTGTGTGTGTGTTTTCTCATATAGTCA